AGCTGGTTAATTTATACAAAGGGTTTAGTATGCTATTCTTTTTTAATTTTCTACATTTGAAATTCCCCTAATAAAAGGTTGCTTCTTTTCCAATTATACATTTGAGTACAGTTAGTTCTATTTTAACCAGAAGGCAAGAACACATATTGATGTCTGAAAATATTTTAGGATAATGCTAACAGTGGTGCCTAACTCATGTTTTCCACAATCTTCATAAATGTGAGTATATTATGCAATTAACATATAGCTCTCACCTTTTCCTTTGTTCTCAGGTCATCAAACATTTGTTGAATTTCCAGCTTCCAGTCATCTTGCATGGAATGAAAAGACTCCCGAGGCATTTCAGTCATAACTGCCCCTTCGATAGCAGTCAGTTGTTCAAGAATTAAGGAAAATGATGGACGAATATGAGGGTCTTGTTGCCAGCATTCTAAAATAAACAAAAACCATACGAATTCCACTACTCAGCATAGTTCAGATAGTCAGTCCCATATTGACAGTGTCTGCTGAAGATTTAAAAATTCAGTTGATAATGATTTTGAAAGTTTTAGTTTACAGCGTCCAAGTCTGTGGCATGCACAACAATTACCATTAGGTAAGTCTCTTATCTTTGTACTTTCCATGCCTTACCATGAACCTGGTGTTTCAGAGGCCAAAGCTGCCTTGGCCAGATGATTTAGTGACACAGAGTTCTACAACTCAACCCAAGAAAACCAAAGTCTACAGAATGTTATAATCACAAGAGAGGGCCTAAGAAATCACCTAATAACAAAGTAAGGCAACTTGCTGCTTACAAATATTTAACAATTTTTAAAAGATAAGGATCACATAAAGTCATGGCAAAACCCTGATAGTTAAGATTGTAAAACATTTTTGATAATTGGGCAGAATATAAAATAGAAGATTTAGAGCCAACTCAATATTGTCTTTGCACTCTACGATGTGTTTGGTGAAAACTTCATTACCATTCAGGTTAATTCTGTACATAAATGGGTCACTGCTAAAACTGGATTGTTTTTAAGTTAACTTAATTCATCAAAACTTTACCTGACATCTTAGATCAAAGGACAAGGCTTCTAACTCTTGTAATAGTATTATTACTTAAAAGCATGTGAAAAAGGAGAACTACAGAAACTACTCTTTTGGTTAAAACAAAAACAGATGCTCTAAGAAGCAATTCTCCTTGTCCCCACAGACACAAAAACAGAAGTGCACAAATACCTTTCATGAGCTTGGCAAATGGCTCAGGGCAGGTGGATGGAATGGGCAGAGTGAGCTTGTTGACTGCTACTCCATAAGCCACAGCAAGACCATCAATGCCACGGTAGGGGACTTCTCCTGTGAGCAGTTCCCACAGCAGCACTCCGTAGCTAGAAGGCAAAGTTTCGTACAGTTAATGGGTTAAATGGTATCTTTTATTTTTATTCATGACACATTTGGTGAGATAAATGCATTAGCACCTCCATCCAGCTCCTGATAAGAATCTTCTCTTCAAACAAAGCCCAGTAAGTGGCTTTTATACCAAGTTGAGAGGTGGGCTGCTCAAGTTAACATTTCAAAAAAGGCAATTACACCTCTTCCCAATCATCAGGAATTGAAGCTACTTAATGGCTAGGAAAGCTTAGGAGCACTATATCACTGAATTAAACAGGGCCCAGAACCAGGCCATAATTTAAGAGTCATGTGGTTATTTGAATGGTTCTCCTTCTATTTCATTTTCCTACACCAGGGAAAAACTTTTGAGGATTGTTAAAGCCCTGGAGATTCTTCCTCCACAAAAATCTCATGCTACATACCACAGAACTGATATTGAATCATATTGACTATTTTTAATTAGTATTTTGAAACTGTTTACCTTTCTCTCTCTGTCCCTTTATTATTTTAGGAGGTATGTTGTGTATGTTTCCACCATATTGCTTAATGGTAATGGAAAAAAGAAATCCATGTGAGCTACCTTGGGCCTGCTGGTAGGACAGAACATCTCTTTTTTGTAATGGAGGAAGCTGGAGTGAAACAGCAGCAAAAAATTCCAAATAGTGCAGCTGCTGTGCTCTCTGGGGTGCCCGCAGGTGGACCAAGGGCTCAGTGCTGCCTCGGTTCTTCAGCAGTTACAAACAAGAATGAAAAGTGTACAGGTGGATTTCTAAAGGAACTTTTAAAATGAAGCTTATGGACCAAGTTACACTACTCATCCATACCACAGAGCAATTCAAGGCAGTAGAGAGGGGCATACACCTGAGCCTTGTACAGTAAAAGTATTCATTCTCTTCTATCAATACTGGTCTGTACCTTAGTTTCCCTTTACCTTCTTCAGAACATAAAGTATCAAATTATTTTTTGTTAATACATAAAAAAACCAGAGTTATTATTCCAGGGGACTCACTTAACTTTCAATTGAAACACAGAACCATATAAGGAACAGTCATATTTACTTTCTTTTTACTTCTGTTAATATAGTCCTATTTACTATCCTAATCTTTTAAAAACGTCATTAGCTTTAAAGTTAATAAAGAAAAAAGCTTAAGATTTTAGATTATCTTCTGATCTTAATGATGCCGGGGTTCTTGTTCACGAAGCCAAAGTATGAGCTTCACAAACACTCAAGGTAGGAGAGCAAGGTACAGGCTTTTATTTAGAGATAAAGTGAAAGGACAGAGCTCCCGGCTCAAGCCAGGAGGGGACAAGAGAGTCGGGGTTGATAGGTTGTCTAGGGGTTTTATAGGCAGTTGAGGATCCTTGAGAACATGAAAAAAAGCTTAGGGGTGTGGACTTACTAAGTGGTCCCTGAGTATTTAGAATTAACACAAGCAACTTCCTGCTCTGATGATTTCTCCTAGATATCAGCATCTTGGTCTGGAGGCATATGAAACAAGGCCACCCGCCCAGCCCCCAAGGTGGGCTGAGGTATTGTTTGCTAAAGAGTAAGTTAAGAATTTCTAACTTCTTAACTTCTTCTGTATTAAAATGCAATCTTATCTTTAAGGTGGAATCCTTCTTGCCTTTTACTGTGTTGTTTATGGCTGGGCCTCCATGATAAATTAGTTGCCCAGTTTGCAAATCACCTCGTCAAATCTGAAAGAGGAAAGACAGCACATAGGCTTGGGCCTTTTAGCATGTTAAAGTGAATCTTACACATGACTGTAAATGATTAGCATAATAAAAACATGTGCTACTCTATCTCGGGAATATTAACTGATCTCACTGAAGAATGACTCCAGAGCTGAATGTTTTAACACTGTTTTAGAAGGGGGTTCCCTTGCATGTAGTTACATTGCTCTGACTGCAAATATTCTGCCTTGCTTTTTTCCAGAGGCCCCTACCCTACTCTGACTACACTCACAGTCTCTGTCTCATTAAGAAATGTGGGGATTCACAGCATCACAAATACAATAGGAAAAGCCCTCTGTGAAGACCTGGTCTGCAGACCAGCTCTGGTCTGCAAAGAGCTGGAAATTTTCTGGATTCCAGGGTCAGGTCATCCTCGATATGGTAACTTTATTTAAAGACCTTTCCACTTGTATTTACCAGACTCTAGACTATGTACTAAAAATGTTCAGAAGAACAAAGTAGGTACAATAGAATATGCCCAATCAAAGAGCTCAGGGGTCCTCCAGCTTATTTTCCTTGATCTACGCAGAGGGGTTTGGGTTGTGAGGCCCTTGAGTCTGGGGCTCATTATTACCTTGCACTTATGGTGGTGCTAGGCCTTTAATTAAGGTCAATGTGAAAGTGTAGAGTTATAATGCAGAGCCATACCTTGTATGTTAAAGCAACTTTAACATGGGAAAATAACTCTCAACTACACCATAATCCAATGTTTCAACATCAAATTGGAATACACAATGGTCTCTTTATTTAGCAAAGCATTACTGCCTACTTGAAAAGAATCCTGCTATTTTAGAATCACAAATATATGAGGTATAAAAATTCCTTTCTGGATGATTATATGGCTTTATAAACATTATCAAAAACTTGCAATGTCATACTTTAGCCCAGATATTTATTGTATGTACAACAGAAGAATTTAACCTATTGAACAATTATATACTTCAGACAACTAGAATAAACTTTGATTCATTAAAACGCTCAAGTACTACAAAAATGCTTTTAAAACATAAGTACTGCCACCATCACATAGACTCATGGCTTCAGGCTGCAGCTCTTTGGTGGCTGTTAACAGTCACTTGTCCCCAGTCGAAGAAGACCATGCTAAGTGAACTTACTTTCCAACCAGTCTGCCTTCCAATTAATTGTTTTTACTCCTCATATTTCTCTTTGTATGTGGTAACACAAATGCAGGTTCATCATGTTAAACATACACATTTATTTAATGCTTCTTTTTAAAATATATGACCAGCCAGAGCTTAACTCATCATATTTTTGGTGAAAATTTCAAAAATTACACATTTTCCCAGTTTCTCCAACAAAGCAATGCTCAGAGATAAAAGGATGTGTTGTTGGGTGGGGGGCAGGGGACCAAGCATAACGGAGGCTTTAAAAGACATAAGCAAACACCATAAGGAGATATCTTTGAGATGAACTGTGACAATTAAATATGGAGTATTGCATGGTATCAAGGAATCAGCTACTTTTTAAGATAATAATGGAAAGGAAGTTATTTTTAAAATTGTTACCAGTTAGAGATGCATACTGAAGTATTTAAGGGTAAAATGGCATGAATATTTAAAATACTCCAGTTTTATAAGATGATAATGGGGAACTGGGAAAAATAAAACAAAATATTGAAGCTGGTTAATTTATACAAAGGGTTTAGTATGCTATTCTTTTTTAATTTTCTACATTTGAAATTCCCCTAATAAAAGGTTGCTTCTTTTCCAATTATACATTTGAGTACAGTTAGTTCTATTTTAACCAGAAGGCAAGAACACATATTGATGTCTGAAAATATTTTAGGATAATGCTAACAGTGGTGCCTAACTCATGTTTTCCACAATCTTCATAAATGTGAGTATATTATGCAATTAACATATAGCTCTCACCTTTTCCTTTGTTCTCAGGTCATCAAACATTTGTTGAATTTCCAGCTTCCAGTCATCTTGCATGGAATGAAAAGACTCCCGAGGCATTTCAGTCATAACTGCCCCTTCGATAGCAGTCAGTTGTTCAAGAATTAAGGAAAATGATGGACGAATATGAGGGTCTTGTTGCCAGCATTCTAAAATAAACAAAAACCATACGAATTCCACTACTCAGCATAGTTCAGATAGTCAGTCCCATATTGACAGTGTCTGCTGAAGATTTAAAAATTCAGTTGATAATGATTTTGAAAGTTTTAGTTTACAGCGTCCAAGTCTGTGGCATGCACAACAATTACCATTAGGTAAGTCTCTTATCTTTGTACTTTCCATGCCTTACCATGAACCTGGTGTTTCAGAGGCCAAAGCTGCCTTGGCCAGATGATTTAGTGACACAGAGTTCTACAACTCAACCCAAGAAAACCAAAGTCTACAGAATGTTATAATCACAAGAGAGGGCCTAAGAAATCACCTAATAACAAAGTAAGGCAACTTGCTGCTTACAAATATTTAACAATTTTTAAAAGATAAGGATCACATAAAGTCATGGCAAAACCCTGATAGTTAAGATTGTAAAACATTTTTGATAATTGGGCAGAATATAAAATAGAAGATTTAGAGCCAACTCAATATTGTCTTTGCACTCTACGATGTGTTTGGTGAAAACTTCATTACCATTCAGGTTAATTCTGTACATAAATGGGTCACTGCTAAAACTGGATTGTTTTTAAGTTAACTTAATTCATCAAAACTTTACCTGACATCTTAGATCAAAGGACAAGGCTTCTAACTCTTGTAATAGTATTATTACTTAAAAGCATGTGAAAAAGGAGAACTACAGAAACTACTCTTTTGGTTAAAACAAAAACAGATGCTCTAAGAAGCAATTCTCCTTGTCCCCACAGACACAAAAACAGAAGTGCACAAATACCTTTCATGAGCTTGGCAAATGGCTCAGGGCAGGTGGATGGAATGGGCAGAGTGAGCTTGTTGACTGCTACTCCATAAGCCACAGCAAGACCATCAATGCCACGGTAGGGGACTTCTCCTGTGAGCAGTTCCCACAGCAGCACTCCGTAGCTAGAAGGCAAAGTTTCGTACAGTTAATGGGTTAAATGGTATCTTTTATTTTTATTCATGACACATTTGGTGAGATAAATGCATTAGCACCTCCATCCAGCTCCTGATAAGAATCTTCTCTTCAAACAAAGCCCAGTAAGTGGCTTTTATACCAAGTTGAGAGGTGGGCTGCTCAAGTTAACATTTCAAAAAAGGCAATTACACCTCTTCCCAATCATCAGGAATTGAAGCTACTTAATGGCTAGGAAAGCTTAGGAGCACTATATCACTGAATTAAACAGGGCCCAGAACCAGGCCATAATTTAAGAGTCATGTGGTTATTTGAATGGTTCTCCTTCTATTTCATTTTCCTACACCAGGGAAAAACTTTTGAGGATTGTTAAAGCCCTGGAGATTCTTCCTCCACAAAAATCTCATGCTACATACCACAGAACTGATATTGAATCATATTGACTATTTTTAATTAGTATTTTGAAACTGTTTACCTTTCTCTCTCTGTCCCTTTATTATTTTAGGAGGTATGTTGTGTATGTTTCCACCATATTGCTTAATGGTAATGGAAAAAAGAAATCCATGTGAGCTACCTTGGGCCTGCTGGTAGGACAGAACATCTCTTTTTTGTAATGGAGGAAGCTGGAGTGAAACAGCAGCAAAAAATTCCAAATAGTGCAGCTGCTGTGCTCTCTGGGGTGCCCGCAGGTGGACCAAGGGCTCAGTGCTGCCTCGGTTCTTCAGCAGTTACAAACAAGAATGAAAAGTGTACAGGTGGATTTCTAAAGGAACTTTTAAAATGAAGCTTATGGACCAAGTTACACTACTCATCCATACCACAGAGCAATTCAAGGCAGTAGAGAGGGGCATACACCTGAGCCTTGTACAGTAAAAGTATTCATTCTCTTCTATCAATACTGGTCTGTACCTTAGTTTCCCTTTACCTTCTTCAGAACATAAAGTATCAAATTATTTTTTGTTAATACATAAAAAAACCAGAGTTATTATTCCAGGGGACTCACTTAACTTTCAATTGAAACACAGAACCATATAAGGAACAGTCATATTTACTTTCTTTTTACTTCTGTTAATATAGTCCTATTTACTATCCTAATCTTTTAAAAACGTCATTAGCTTTAAAGTTAATAAAGAAAAAAGCTTAAGATTTTAGATTATCTTCTGATCTTAATGATGCCGGGGTTCTTGTTCACGAAGCCAAAGTATGAGCTTCACAAACACTCAAGGTAGGAGAGCAAGGTACAGGCTTTTATTTAGAGATAAAGTGAAAGGACAGAGCTCCCGGCTCAAGCCAGGAGGGGACAAGAGAGTCGGGGTTGATAGGTTGTCTAGGGGTTTTATAGGCAGTTGAGGATCCTTGAGAACATGAAAAAAAGCTTAGGGGTGTGGACTTACTAAGTGGTCCCTGAGTATTTAGAATTAACACAAGCAACTTCCTGCTCTGATGATTTCTCCTAGATATCAGCATCTTGGTCTGGAGGCATATGAAACAAGGCCACCCGCCCAGCCCCCAAGGTGGGCTGAGGTATTGTTTGCTAAAGAGTAAGTTAAGAATTTCTAACTTCTTAACTTCTTCTGTATTAAAATGCAATCTTATCTTTAAGGTGGAATCCTTCTTGCCTTTTACTGTGTTGTTTATGGCTGGGCCTCCATGATAAATTAGTTGCCCAGTTTGCAAATCACCTCGTCAAATCTGAAAGAGGAAAGACAGCACATAGGCTTGGGCCTTTTAGCATGTTAAAGTGAATCTTACACATGACTGTAAATGATTAGCATAATAAAAACATGTGCTACTCTATCTCGGGAATATTAACTGATCTCACTGAAGAATGACTCCAGAGCTGAATGTTTTAACACTGTTTTAGAAGGGGGTTCCCTTGCATGTAGTTACATTGCTCTGACTGCAAATATTCTGCCTTGCTTTTTTCCAGAGGCCCCTACCCTACTCTGACTACACTCACAGTCTCTGTCTCATTAAGAAATGTGGGGATTCACAGCATCACAAATACAATAGGAAAAGCCCTCTGTGAAGACCTGGTCTGCAGACCAGCTCTGGTCTGCAAAGAGCTGGAAATTTTCTGGATTCCAGGGTCAGGTCATCCTCGATATGGTAACTTTATTTAAAGACCTTTCCACTTGTATTTACCAGACTCTAGACTATGTACTAAAAATGTTCAGAAGAACAAAGTAGGTACAATAGAATATGCCCAATCAAAGAGCTCAGGGGTCCTCCAGCTTATTTTCCTTGATCTACGCAGAGGGGTTTGGGTTGTGAGGCCCTTGAGTCTGGGGCTCCTTCTCTGAGCAGGAGTAACATAGCGCCACTGAAAGATAACTGGATCTGGAGGCAGCCAACCCAAGTTTGAGCTTTGGGTTCATTACTACTAGCTAAGTTTCTACCCACAAGGCCCTTAAAGGTGATCTTGAATTAATGGTGTCTGCTCTACAACCTCAAAATACATTTTACATTTTTTTTAAAAAAAAGGAATATATATATATAATGCAGTAGTTGTAAATTATATAATGCTATAATTATTAGCAATTAAGTTGAAACCAATATTTTTCAAAGGTTATCTTGCTTAGTTTCTTGAATATGATCTGTAGTTTGGCTCATTAGCAGAGACACCCTCTTAATTTCAAGAATAAGTAAATTCAAGTCATAGATAACCAATAAAAGTCGTCTCAGAGCAGGACACCAAAAAATTTTTAGAGTAGCTGAAAACTGTAAATTCGAAGATGAAGCTTCCTTGTTATTCTCATTAGCAAAAAACAAAATGAAAATAACAACATAACTTTGCTCTTGCAAGTTGCAGAGAATAAATAATTCAGGATAAATCATTTTTCCAGAAAGAAGGTTTTCACCCCCATTAAAAAACCAATGTGAAAAAACGGAATCATTTCTAAAGTATAGTGTGTATTTTCTGCCCCCTGAAATTGCGTGGGAAATAGTACAAATAAGACCTCTCCTGAGATAAGCAGCTGATGAATCAAAGCTGAATCTCAGGCCTGGGACCTGAGTCTGCTACTTACTAGTTTTACAACACTGAGGAAATTTCTTAACCTCTCAGTGCCTTGGTTACCTACTCTGAAACGTTCCATAACAACATCTAAGTTACCTTATAGTGTAGTAAATTAGCAGGTGGTAAGGAGGAAGGACCAAGAGAGAAGATGATCAGGAAATGCTCTAGTAAACATACTACCAGTCCAAGCACTGAACAGAGTAAAGTAACGTTTGTTCAATGAATTACCTTTTATGGGTATATTATAAAAGGAGATTCTAAAGCAAAAGTACATGCAGTTCAGATAGGTGGGCTTCTCTGCCCGTCTGTATACTGACACCCCAGGACTCCAGCATGCTTTAGCATATTAACACATTCTGAAGATGGGGGTGGGAGGATGGATAGGCTCCACAGCAAGGAGGCTCTAGAAATCAGCAGTTTCTATTTCTTTCTAATCATGCTTTTTCCCTTACTTAACCCACTCTGTTTTTCAGCTGTCAATTTTTACTATGACCTGCTTACCATCCTCTCCCTTCTTCTAATTAGCTGCTTTTACTGAAAATCACATCATCAAGCTTGTGAAACTGAGAATTTGAGATAAACAAATTTTGAGGGAAGACTTCTCCAATGAGTGTATGAACTTTAAGACCCATTTTTTGGGCTGGCTTTAGAAATGTCTTTTTTTTGCTTACTTCTTGATTCTCTTGTTCACACCAGATGAGGCTGCTGTAACACACTTATACAGATTTACAAAGCACTTATACAGATTGTACAGCATTTGTATTGCTGGTAATTACAGCTTATAAAAGCAGCACACAATGTGAAATGGTTATAGTCTTAAGTAATATTTTGAATGTAAAATTGTTTAATGATACATTTTACTAGTTTTTAACAGTCGGGAAGTATAATCATTCCTTAAAAGAATTGCCATTTTCACTTAAGTACTTCAGTATTATCAAATGGTCAGAAAAGTACTGTAATTAACTCAAGGAAAACACATTTATTGTTTTATAAAGACACATGCTCAGGCTCTGCCAGCGCAAAGTCTAATTCATCAGGTAAGGGAAAACTCAAGCACTTGTTTTCCAAAATGGCCTGAAGACACTATAGGACCCCCTGACACAGCAGGTAAATTTCTTAAAGTCTTAAGTAGAACAATTAAATTATATTTTAAATGCAGAGGAAAAGCTTTAAATTTAAAGACATTTTTTGGAACTTACACTAACAGGGCTCTGCCACTAAACTTACTCAAATGAATTTGAAAGAGTAAGTACTGGTGCATCCAATGATTAAAGGGGGAAAACAATTTTTGTGGATTGTGCATTTGGAAGTCAGATATGGGTTCAAAGGGCAGTTCTGTCATTAATCAGACATGGACTCTTAGCAAGTGACATTTCTTCTTTCAGCCCTAGTTTTCCCTTTTGTAAAGAACCTGGAATTTTAACCATAATGAGATACCACTTCAAAACTGCTAGGATGGCTAGAATCCAAGTCAAACAACAAAAGTGTTGACAAGGACATGGAGAAATCAGAACTCTTATGCACTGCTGGTGGGAATGGAAAGTGGTACAGCTGCTTTGGAAAAGTCTGGCAGTTCCTCAAATAATTGAGCAGTATTATGCAGAACAGCCAAGAACAAGCCCAAATGCCCATCAACTGATGAATGAATACATAAAATGTGGTATATCCATCCAACGGAATATTGGTCAATAAATATGAATTAAATTCTGACAAACCCTATGACATGAAACTTGAAAACTGTATGCTAACTGAAAAAGCCAGGCACATACTGTATGATTGAAACATACAACTGCTAACTGAAAAAACTTTATGCTGATTAAAAAAGCCCGTCACATATTGTATGATTCCATTTATATGAAATGTCCAGAATAAGCAAATCTAAAGATATAAAAGTGGTTGCCTTGGGCTGGGAAGGATGAGGTATTAGGGGTGTGGATAAAATGAAAGTTCCTGTAGCCAGCTCACTATACAGGTGTGAGCAATATGTTGTTATTGACTCTGTATAAAGAGCTCCACCCAGTGGTCTGGGTGACATGGTGGCATGGTTGCAAGGCTGCAGGACAGTAGAGGCTGGAGTGGTGGCAGCACCAAGGACAAAAGCCAGAGATGGCTGTGCGGGCCAAGGCCCAGAGGCAGAGACTGGCTTGCTGCGTACATACTTATTCTGAGTGGATGGGATTTTAGTGATTGACCTGACACCATGGAAATAAAGTTGGGTATAACCTTTTCACCCTAAGAACGTTCTGTCATTTCTTTGGTCACACTGAATCCATAATGAACTTGCCTGGGGCTGAAACCCACTGGCAAGATAGGGGTGAAGGCTAAGGAATATAGGGTTAGTTTATTGGATTATGAACCTATTCTAAAATCAACTGTGGTGATGGATACATACCTCTTTTAATATACTGAACACCACTGTACAGTTTAAGTGGATGAATTTTGTATGGTATATGAATTATATCTCAGTAAAGCTGTTAAAAAGCAACAGAAAAAACCTGTAATTTTAATAGTAGGCATACAACATTAAATAAAGGCAAGTAAGCTCCTGGTGCACTATAACTATTAAACAGAATGATTCTTCTTTGTTGTTCTCTTAGAGATAGTGCTTTCATTTCTTAATGAGACACAGCTCTCAATCATAAAATTGAGATAACCTGGGATCCAATCTGCATCCAGCTCTCCATCCTCAAACTGGAAGCTTTAATCTTTAGAGGATGCAAGGAATAAATGAAGGAGCTCATCTAAATTTTTTTCTCAAACTCCTTCCATGCTGCAGTTCTGTCTGGGAATCATGAAGAAACAAACTTCTGCTTAAAGTGAAAATATACTTTTGTTTACTGGCAGGCCTTACAAAATCTTGGCATTACTATTAAATTATGACCAGTTTTAATCAAATCTCAGTTTTAACAAGAAAGTTCTATCAAATGGTAGTCATGTGACAACACAAACCTTAAGTTACCTGTTGCATTGTGGTTACAACAATCTTAAAAAAAAGAAGCCTTCTTCAAAAAGACCTAGATAGCCCTTTATGCTCAGAATTTCTGAACCCTTTGGGACTCATCTGAAGGAAATATAGCAACCAGCTTCTGCAGACATCTGCAAAAGCAAAAGGCATGGTGCTTACCTCCAGATGTCACTTCCCTTAGAAAACAAGGAAGACTTGATAACTTCTGGGGCCATCCAGGCGTAGGTGCCTGCTGCACTCATTTTGGTTGTCCTGTGCCATTCCCTTGCTAACCCAAAATCTGTAATCTTCAGTGTCTTATTGTAGATGTCATCATGCTCTAGCTTCTCGAGTAGCAAAACTAAAAATCAAAGGTGGGATATTTTCATATTATGATTTTTTTCAGCCACAATTTCTTTTGGCAATTAAAACACAATCTTCACTGTGTTCGGCAGAGTAAATGAGAATGAACTTGTATTTTAACATTTTATCTTACTTACGTCACATACCATAGCCTTGAGTGGATCATTTGGGCCTGAAGTTACAATTTTTAAAAAAAATTGCACAGACACAATACTGTTTTTATAAATGTTTTTCTTCACGAGAATGTAAATGATTTCTAAGGGCCAGGAACCTTTACTGAGATACCACAGGCAGGGTCAGAAGTCTGTGGAAAGTTTACCTAATTGGAAAAAAATATATTGTTTTCTTCCAAAAAGTTAGGATAAGCTCTAAACACAGTCTTTTATACTGAATCTATTAGAGAATATCACAAGTAGATGATATATTAGCATAAATCATTATTATCCCAAAATTACCTTACATTAAATTTGCAAAATGCTTATAGATATTTTAACTCAAGATATTTTATGAGATACGATTGCTTTACTGAAGCTGAAATATAACAAGAAGTAAAAAACTTTAGAGAAACACTATTCAAATGCTCATTTCCCCAGCCCCCAGCCTCTTGACAAAAAAATACATACAAGAGCAACTTTCAGGAGCAGAGCTCATGCCAAGAGTCTGCCCCTTGAGCTCTCATGAAACAGTAGCTAAAATAAACCTACTTCTTAACCCCACCCCACCTACACCCATCCACCGCAGCCTTCCCAGCACATTGGGTTCCTCTCCCCCAACCCTATGTTGATTTTCCTCTCCTTACAACATGCAGAAATGTTCCCCAGGTTTTCCATGAGGCTCTAACACAACTACCCACCCACATTTCCGACAAAGTGACTGGTTTAAACTTAGTTTTTACTAAGTTATCTCCTCACTCCTTCCTTACAACACTGCATTCCAACTTGTAGCTCTGTTGTTTCTACTTTAACTGAATGCTCTGCAAATGCTCCCTTCTCCACTTCCACTGCCACTACATTACTTCTGGCCTCACCATCTCACACCTGAATTAGAATCATTCTGAGCGGACTGGATAAATCATCACGACTCTCCTCTCTCTAATCCATATATCAGCACTAGCAAATTCATCTTCCTAAGAGTTATGGCATTCTTTTGTTTTTTAAACCTTCCATGAATATGCAACTACATGGATGAATCTCAAAACCAGACATAAAGGTTACATACAATGGTTCTGTAAGATATTTGGGACAAGGGACAGAATCAGGTCTCTGGTTGCCACAGGCTGAGGGGAAAGGCTTAACTGCAAAGCTACACAAGAGAGCTTTTTAGGGTAATACAAATTCTGTACCTTGACGTCGGTGATTGCAGGAATATATACACTTGCCCAAACTCATCAAACTGAACACCCTCAGAGGGTGAACTTTGCTATATGTAAATTATACCTCATTTTTAAAAAAAGCTTCCCTGGTTCCCCGTAAGTCAAGGATAATGTCCACACTCCTAAAACTGGGCAACCACAGCCTCACATCTGCATGGCAGCCTCCATTTCCAACTACCTCATTCCCCTACGGGTGAATGTCATCTGCTTGGGCTTCTCATCCTAAGTATTACCCTTAGTGAAGCCTTCCAGATACTCCTAAGCAAAGGAAAGGATTCCCTCCTCTAACACAAGTGAACTTTGTGTTTCTATTACAGCACTTATAAAGCACAGGGCACCGCAATTCTTTGTTTTCACCTCTGACTACTCCACTAGGCTGTCAGCTCTGACACAGTATGAGAGAGGGAAAAATGGTGGGGAGAGGAGCATACCAGGGGAATCATGTCCGATTCACCTTCATACGCATGTGTCTGCTCTGACTCAGAATAGGTGCTCAATGTTTACAAGTGAAATGAGCAAAACATGCACATTCTTACATGGGTGCTTTGTTTGTGCCATTCCTACCTAATAGAAATAACCACAAATTAAAAGAGTTGCTAACAAATATTGAATATTCACTATGCATTATTCATTCAATTCTCACAAAAAATCCCAAGAGATAGCTCTGCATTATCAAAGGATAAATTAGTAGTGAAAAAAATAAAGTACAAAGTGAACCCATTAAACACTGATCCAAATTTCACAGTAAATAAGGTGCATGTGGGGAAGAGAGGTGGGGATTGTTATTTGGGCTTTACCTATAGAAAAAAAAGAAATAAGTCTGTTTCATTCCTTTTTAAATGACATTTTTGTCATTGTTACAACTATACACTAACTCTTAGAAGGATAAAAGCAAAATAAGAGTAGGAAGCTTTCCAGAATAAATAACCCAAACAAAATTGGAGAACAACATAAGCCATTCTTTATGTTTGATTTTTGGAACATGATTGTAAAGGGGACTACGTTTCCAAATGTTAGTTATAGGAATAATGAACACCAACTGAGTACATTCTGGTTGACAGGTATACTTGTAGGGATTTTAATTACTTGCGTGATCCACACCACAGTGCTACAGCTGTATGCGATTTATTATCTGTGCTTTATAAATAAGGAAACTGAAACACAGAAATGTTGAGTGATCTGTTCAAGGTCAAGCACCTAAGAAGCAGTGAAGGTCAAGGAGCCCCACCCCAAAGCCCACAATCCTAACTACTGTCTACATTGCTCAGTTGACTGCTTTTATCAATTATTCACAAGAGTTTTCCTTATCCTTTGGAAAACTTTCTGTTCAGGTGTCCATTCTCCTGATTTCCTGTCATTGGATAATTATCATCTGACCTAAGTTTAGACAGTGTGGCAGGCACAGTGATAAAGAGCATGCAGGCCAGGGCCAGCCTGCTTGGTTCAGATTCTCATGCTTCTGTTTCCTTGTCTGTCACAGAATTAGATAGTACTTACATTATAAAGCTGTACTGAGAAGGAGAGGAAGACCTATAAAATGCTTAGAATGTTGTCTGAAACACAGTAAGCATTTTGTAAGGATTACACATACACACACACACACACACCCCTTTATCAATGGATTTGAAAGTATTTTCAGCAAGTCTTCAAAATCACTTTCATAGACTTCAGAATATTCTATATCTTTTGTAAACCTTGAAATTTCACTTTGCAATGGATTCGCATTTCACTTCCATCAGATTGTGAAATATTTACAATATTAAACAGTTATAATCAAAGAGTTAGTGCAAGTAGAGAAAACCAACATTAGATTTAAAAATGAAGTCATCTCTGAGTGGGCACTTACTATATAAATTGCCAATACTGAATAAATATTGTGATGTAACATATCTTCCCTCTAAGAATCTTTTTTCTCCCCTTCATATCAGTGATACACTGTACAGAGAGAGGATAGAGGAAGGGGGTGGGAGAGACTCAGTTCCGTTTGGAATAGCCTGTTTGCTTTTTTTATGTTTGGGGGTCATTGTGTTTTTGTTTTGGAATCATCTCTTATTCTTTCTGTCCATCTATACTATACTTATTCTCAAGGTCTGGCTTCCTTGGGAAAACCTTCCAGAGCATACTACAAAACAGTAACTGAAAGGAAAGGAGCGACACATAGCAGCAATTCACCGGAGAGTTCCGCTTTATTAGGGAAAGGTGCTGGGTTATATAGGAAGGTGCATAGGGTGATTGTGGTGTTACTTCTACGGGGCTGGTGGCTGTTGGCTAGGTGCTGGGATTGGGAGGGGGGCGAGAGGTGATTGGGCTTCAGGTGGCGCCGGCGGGAACCGAGGACCCCGAAAAGAAGCCGGAAGTTTGCCATCTTACTGGTGGGGATGCTTCATTCCCCCCTTTCTCCTCTATGGGTTTGTGGACGTTGCTTTCTCTCTGGCTGCTTCTTGCTGAACAGGGGCGGAGAAGGGAGTGAGGGCATGAGGATTGGGAGGAAAGGGTTGATAGGACTCCCCACAGTAAGGATGAGTAGATGTGGACTTCTTCAGGTTGGAAATCAATGAAGGTTCCCTGTAACCATAGGTTGAGGACCTGTTGATTCCAATGGTGCCAAGAGGATATGGGTGTCAGGAGCCAGGCATCTGCGGCCATTGTTTCCAGGAACAGTTTCCAGCGGAGAGAGGGGTCCATCTCAGCATGTGGTGAGGAGGTCACGTGAGGGTGAGGGGTCTTCTGTGGCCAGAAGCTGGTAGTTCCTGAGTAAAAGCTGGTTGAAAGCTTGATTAGAGATTTTTCCGACTTGGGATTTGATGAACTTTATTATACAGGGTAAGAAGAGACAGGCGAGAAGAATGATTATTATGGGGCCTGCAATGGGCCAGAGCCAGGTGAGGAGGGGGTTTGTTAGTATTGAAGAGAATGGGTTGGAATTGGAAGCAGAGTGGAGGCTGGAGGCAAGGTCGGTGAGTTTGGTAATGTCAGTTTCTACAATGCCGGATTCGTTGATGTAATAGCAGCACTCTTCCCAGAGGAAGACGCAGGTGCCGCCCTTCTCGGCTGTAAGCAGATCTAGGGCCCGCCGGTTTTGAAGGGTGACTTTAGCTAGCGAAGTGACCTGTCTTTGGAGAGAGGCTAGAGAATCGGCAGTGGATGTCAGGGCTTTCTCAAGTTTGGCGTTGAGATCTCTAACTGCTTATAGAGAGTGACTAAAGGCTTTTCCCGAAAACTCTGCCCCAATGGCTGAGGTGGTTAAAGAGATACTGACCATGATGGGAAGGAAAGCAGCCCTTTTTGTGCGCAAGGGCAAGGGAGGTTGGAGCTCAAGAAATTCTGCCATGCTGTAAAGTGTAAACTGTGGGATTAGGGTGACGAGAATGCAGGGTGTATCGGAGTTGAGAGGCAGTGAGTTGAAAAGACTGCCATTACACCAAAAGAAGTGTCCCAGTTGTGTAAAAGTCTTAGAGCCGGAGGTAGGGGTGTAGATAGAGAGGCAGTGAAGTGCACTGGAGGGGGGTGGAGTTGGGCCTACACAGTGGTGGATGGTGAGATTATCTGCGTATTCTGGTTCCCATAGGGGTATGTCTGCCAGGGGGCAGAGGGGTTGTCTTTCTGCATGGAAGGAGTAGTTGGAA